AGATATTAATTTGCCTAATGTGACTCAAAGAAGGCTATGATACAAATCAATATGGCTTTCTTAAAACAAGTGACGAGCTGCCCTAAACATTTAAAAAATACTCAGTGAGGGAAATAAATGCACACAGGTGGCATAATCTTCCAGTAGCATCGCACCTTTTTTGGTGTAATCCTTTTCCATCACTGAAAGGCCTTATCTCACATGCACACATACACGCAAAGACACACGTACATGCAATTGAGCAGGAAATCTTGGGGTTTCTCCTACATTCTCAAGTTTTGCCAGAGTTCAACCTGGCTATCAGCAGCTAGGCTCTCTCACCAAGTCTAGGTTACTAGAAAGTTTTAAAGTGTCAGTTCCTTTCTCAGAACTTGCTTTGTTCATTTCACTAGAGAATTCCTGATCCACTTGCTTCTAGATGCTACTGGACTCCCTAATGCAGGAACAGCTTAGCTTGCTATAGAAAAATTATTTTTCAGTTAGAGTGCTTGGAATTAGATTTGTGATCCATGTTTTCATTTTGTGTGAAATACTTTAGCATACTGCTATTATGATTCTTGTTACCCAGACTAGAAGATTATGTACATAAAACTGAAGATTTTCTTGTACTAGTGCTTATTCTTCATAGATGAACACAATATAAAGAAATCCAATTTGTGTGTGTGTGTGTGTGTGTGTGTGTGTGTATGTGTGTGTGTGTTTAGACTCCCAACTCTGCCTAATGGTAGGAAAAAAACTTCAATAATAGGTACCCTGAAATCTGCTGACTTTAGTCATCCAGATAAAATATCAGGAGTTCTCTTCTAATATTCTTTTACATTTGTTTGTCTTGAACAAACTGAGTGCTAGTACTTATTGTCCAACATATTATGGTAATTGTATGTAATAGTAAAATATATAAGCAATGATTTTTAAAGGGAGCTCGAGAGTTTTTGGATTTCTTTTTTGCAGTGTATAAAGGTTTCATATGCATGAACATTTGTGCTATTTAAGATTTTTTTAATTGAAAAAAAGTTTAATTAAAAGCATCCAGATTCCCAAAGTTCATTTGTAAATAGTGGTTCAGAACTCTGTATAAGATGATTAAATTCTTAGGGAAGCTCATAAAGGCTTACTTACACCATCATGTAGTTAACAGCAATATTGTATCGTACTGAGTGCTCAGTCCTCTTTAGGGAATCAATCAATGTAGGAAGGAGAAAGAAGCAGAGGTCTTTCTTTTTTCTGATTTGGTTCAGGAAGGTTGAGTTGTTTGGTGTGTTTCCCAGTTGCCCTCTTCCCATCCTAAACTCTCAAGTGGAATGCTATATAAACCAACTTGCCTTTTGCCTTCCTGGATGCTCTGTACTTCAAAATTTCATATCTTTCCTCTAATCAGAATTCTCATTTCTTTGTTAGCTGTGGTTGGCTAGATTTTAAGGTGACAGTCTTTTGCAGCAAGATTTGAACAAAGATAATGAAGTGGGATTAAATTTCTCTTTTTTTAAAGACTTTATTCAGAATGAATCTTTAATATCTTTGATTTCATACAATATGACCACATTTAGGCACCATGGAAAGCAGTATTTTTATCAAATTGACTGATACGTTCTTGAGAATACTTCCCAATCTCCGTTAGGTTGTGGAGACTTTTCACAATTTCTTTTCCTCTACTTCTGAACTCAGAGATTTTCTTCTCATTTCCAAATTTTAGCAACTTCCCCCTTTTCTCTATTCCATTTATCTGATAAAGCAGTATAGAAGTTATATCTGTAATTTTCCAACTCTTGGTACAGTGATGGGCTTAGAGGCATCCCTGGAGTAAAGGGACTAGGGATGGGATTAGTATCTTCCAAGACAAGGGGTCTAGGGCAAATAAAGGGAAGAAAGTTTTCATTGAAGACTTTAATGAAACCCAATGGATAAGCTTCGTCTTTGTCATATTTTGTCGAAACACATTACTTGTAATTATATTAAAACTTATTCTAAATACCTGTACTTCTCTTGTTCTGTAGGTGATGTAGATGATGTTGCTTGTTAGTTAAAATATCTTTTATAAAAGAAAGTCCTGCTTCTTATCATGATGTATGTGACTTA